AATAAAAATAATAAAAAGAAACAAAATAAGTTATAGACGTTAAAGAGATTATGGACGAAATAGAACAAATAGAGTAAACAGACTGTATAAGAAATACAGAAAGAACAGACGTAATAAAAGAAATAAAAATTACTGCTGATCACTATTTGGTATAGCAGTGATATCATCTAACGTAAGATCATTATTGATCGACATATCCCACGTGATATTTGGAGTTGCAATTTTTTCCATTAACAATCCTCCTCCAACTTGAATTTTGAACGTAGTAGTGAGAAAGGATTTCGCCCTCGAAATAAAATCCTGTATTTTACTTTTTGTTAATCATTATATTTGCTAAGTAGTTAAGACTTTAGTTCGATAAAGTTGTAATATTCCTAATTCCTGAAATATCATAAAAGTCTTTATAGTAGTCTCTTTTTGATATAGACTTAAAACTAATTTAGCCCGTTTATAGTCAATATCTTCTAGAAAGTCTAAAAGGTCTCTGATAAAATACATATTTATTAACATTCTGATTCTGTTTCTGGCTACTTTTATTCATCGATAATTTCTTGATTCATCCTCATTTTTGTTCTAGGATCATCTGTAGGTTGATATGAATGATAATATTCTTGAATCTGTAATGATTCCATTCGCATTATGTCTTGTAAAATTTCATTTATTTTTGCAAACTGATGCTGATAGAGAATAATGATGTCTTATATATTTTCTCATATGTCGATCACTATTTGTGATTCCCATAACCATCGATCAAAGTAACTTTTTAGTAGATCACCATTTACTAGTTTGGCAAGAAGACATCCATCTTCTTCTCTTAAACAATAAAATCTATTGATCAAGATCTCATAAATCCTGTAAGGTCCTTTCCATTTTGGCTCTAGTTTTCCTGAGAACTGATTGATTCGTGTAGCATCAAAATATAAGACTTTTTGTCTTATGTCAAATGATATTGGTTTAGTCAGATATTTGTCATGGACTGTCTTTTATTTACTTTTCATGACGATTATTGTCTGTTTAGCTCTTTCTCTAATAACTGAAAGTTTTTTTATGATTTGTTGAATTTGATCTATCAAATTTTTATTTTTCTGATCAACATGATCATCCAAGAGTAACTTCGCTTCTCGTCTATATGTTAACAAAACTGGAATTATTTTAGTAGTAGATTGCTAAGCAGTACAATAAGTAAATAATACAGGAGCTATATGTAGATCCCATTCAGTTTGCTCTTATATAATTTTTGCTAAAGATTCTTTCAACATTTTATTAAATCTTTCAACTTGTCCATTTGTCTGAGGATGATATGGCGTTGAATTATGATGTTTGATTCCAAACTTTTTCATTAACTCTTTTATTATAGCATTGTTGAAATGTGTTACTCTATCTGAT